CTTCCTGGCCTTGTTCAAACGCTGGGCAGGGGTTCCTTGTCCTCAATGAAGCTTCTGGGCTGCCTTTGGGTCCTGCAGCAGACTGAGATGAGGAATGGTGTTCAAGTAGTCAAGAATGCATTTTGGAGTGGGGCATCCAGGACAGAATATGGTGGTTGCCCTTTATACTCCAAGTATTCTTGAAAAAGCACACTTCTAATGCTGAAGTTTACACAACATGTATGCACATTCTGTCGCTCACACACACACACACTCATAGGGAAGTGTGATGGCAGTTTATTAAAGCAGATGAGTTGCAAACCTGAATAGCATCCCACAGGATACAGATTGCTTTTTAAAAAGGCTGAAAATTATATTTTTTCAGGCTGATTTTAACCTTTTTTTGCGGGGGGCATATTTTCAGTTTGAAGGATGGGAACTAAAGCAGGAGGCTTCTGGGATGCAACCCCTCATACTCTCACCTTTGACACCCTTACCTGAAAAACAGCTCAATGGCAATTTGGGGGCTGTTTTCAAACGGGCATTGGAGATTTAAGGAGGGGGGATCGGTTTGCTTCCCAGAGGCCTTCCATTCCCACCATTGAATGCCCCCCATCCTTACTTCCAATTCCAAAAGATGGACACCTTCCTGAAGCCCTCTGGAAGATCAGGAGGCAGAATTGTGGCCCCTGACTTCTTGAACATTGCCAGACCTTGACTTAAGTTGGGACTGTTGTGTGTTAAAAAGACACAAATGTGCTCTCTCTCTGTAGAACAGGCATGTCCAGCAGAATGCTTTTCAGAGAGTTTTGGCAACTTCCTCTGCAGACGGCCAGATAATTCTCTGCAACTTGGAGGGCCCTTCTGCTCAGCTCCGAAACCAGTACTGGTTTAGCTACAGAACTGGGCTGCCTAGGCTACAGCAGTGGACAGCCTTGTTAGAGGTGAAGGGGAAGAGGATGCTTCGGCAGGCTTCCGGTTTCTCTCTCACTAGGTGCCAGCCTGGGGTCCCTGTCTTCCCCATCCTAAACTCATGAACAGCAGAAAATAAGGGGGGAGATCTTTTTGTGTTGGATGGATACAGAGCAGGGCTCGGGATAGGAAGCTGTTCTGACTCCCATCCTGAGCATTAGTGCGGGCAAAAGCAGTGAGTGTGACTTAAGCTGTTTCTGTTACACTAAAAGATAGCCAGGCATAGTCCAGGAGAATGGACACCTGGAAATCCACTGTGGACTACTCAACCCATCTTGCCTTTGCTGTGTCAAGGCTAGCTGTGTAACGGTGGGGACTGGAATACTGACCCTTCATTTTTAAGAACACAACTGAGATTCTGAAGAATCTGCTAAACTCATGACAAGCTACACCAGAAGACATATTCTGTGATTTGAGGCAGTGCAGTAAACCATCAGTGCTCACTGCTGCACGGTAAATATTCCAGGCTCAAAATTATTTGGGGGGGATGTTTCCAGTTACCACCACTGTGGGGAGAAGGCTCTCCCACTCAGGTAAGTCCTGTCTCTCCGTTATACCCCCAATCCTGCCTCTCGGCTGAGGGCTCTCTTTTGAGTTTGATTTCCATTCTGCTTTGATTTGTGTTTTGTTTCTCCTTCCTTCCTTCATATTTCTCTTTTTTTCCTGTTCTTTTCGTCTTTCTGTTTTATATTGGCTTCCCTTCCTCTGTGGCGGCCTATACCCCTTCACTCATGTGGTGGCCACTGTCTGCCCCTCCATGCCTTTGGTTTCTCTACTGTGTGCTGTTTGCTCCATCTCTTCTTTTCCTTTCCTCTGACTGGTGCGCCTGTCTTTTCCGTATCGCTCCCTGTGGGATGTGGCTTGGGGTTCCCCCTTCCACTTTACCCTCCCTCTCCCTGTTTATACTCCCCCTTCTTTGTGGTGGGTGGAGACGGATATTCTTCTTCTGGTGCTCCATTTCCTGGGATCCCATCTTCTTTCCCCCTCTGTTGCTGCTACTTCTGCTTCTCACTGGTGTTTCCCTCCTACCACTCCCCTTCTCCCCTTTTGCTGATGTTCTGTTCTTCACTGTCCCCACGCCACGTTCCCCGGCCACCTGTGTCCCCCTCCATTCTTCCTGCACCTCCCATATCCCTCCCTCCCATCTGTCTGTCTGTCTGTCTGTGGGCTTTCCTCCTCTCCTCTCCTCCCCTCCCTCTCCTGCCCCCCAGGCCCCACAGTGAAGAGTGTGCGTCCCAGCACCTCCCGCAGCGTTCACGCCTTCCTGCACCACTACGCAGGCTCCTTCCGCAGGCCCCGTCTGGCCGTCAGCCGCAGCCTGAGCTCTCACCTCGGCCGCACCGCCCGATTAGGTGACTATCGCACCTCCCACTGTGCTGCCAGTAAGGGCTCCCCATTGTGGGTTGAGGCCACAAGCCAGGCCAGTCTGGCTTCAAGAGAGGCTTTTTGGAGTCCCAGTTTATATCTTGTTTATACACGTGAGCCTCTTGTGTCAAACTGAGCTACGTCAAAGCTAGGAATTCCTTGAGCAAGGAGTCTGGGGAACCCAGAGTCTTGCATTTCTGCTCCAGGAGGAAGTTGGTAAGGAAGCTGGAGTCTCAAATTTCTGGGTTTTGCTTGGAGAGAAATTAACTTTGGTCTTATCCAGTGCATCAGTCTGAATCTGCGCTTAATTCTGGCTGGTCTCACTCACCATGCTAATGTGTAATATGATTTGTTAGCCCAATATGTGGAACTCTTATTACAGCAAGTGTTATATGTAAAGCTAAATGTGGCTTTTTCAGGAACTATGGTACAAAATCCTGGCTTAGCATGATGTGTGAACCCGGCCTTTATGTCACTTTTACTTTTTTATTAATTCTTTTTCCTGGGCTATTCTAAGTGCCCTCCACGTGTCCAGCTTGTGCGAGGCACATTCTCTGCTATGGGATGGTTTTGAGCAGAAATTGAGTAGTGCAATCTTCTGTGAGGTATGAAAGATTGAGGTGCTTTAGCAATAAAGTGGGAATCCCTTAATAAGACCACCCTGGCATGGTGGAAAACCCACACGTTCCCATTACTTACTGATGGTGCATCTAGCTGTCATACTCCCCTTGCTAAGATTAAGGCCTCCAGGAAGACTGTTTCCCATATCAGAATTGGATTGGAATGTGAGGGAAGAATCTGGCTTGAAATCCAGAATAGCTTGTGCTAATTGGTGCTCTCTAGTTGAGTAGTTGGACTAGTGGCCTTACTCAATATAAACTGATTTCCTGTCCTTCTAAATCAGCCCTTTCCAACCAGGTAGCTTCCAGAGATGTTGAACTACAATTTAATTTAATTTATTGGGTTTTGAGGCTACCTGACTGAAAAGACTCTGTTCGGCTTACAACATATAACAGTGGCTATGGAGGCTGGGAACTTTGGGAGTTACACCTGCACCTGGAAAGCATTAGGCCAGAAAAGATTGTTTTGGGTTCCTGAGAATATCTCTGACATGAACTCAACGTATACCTATCTTAAAAGATACTGAAGCAGATCTTAAAGTTCATGTTGCCTTGAAAAAGATACACAGAATCAGAGAGCCAATGTGATCTCATTCTCAGAGCAACTTTCCCAAATCTGGTGCTCTCTAGATGTGCTGGACTATACTTTCTGGTGCCCAGTCCTGGCTGGGGAGGATGGATGATACTATCATATCTTGAGGGCATCATGTTGAGGAAGGCTGGCCCAAAGTGTTACATACTTTGATTGTTACATTCTTAAATATTATACTGGACATTTAGGGGACTTTTTGTATGAGATGATGGTACCAACATAATTATAAGTAACGTAACTAATCAATCCACGTTAGTGGCAGTGGTTATTAAATTAGGGGATAAAATGGTGAGGGAGATCAGGACATTCCCATTTTCTGATCTTAGGTTGGGTATACCCGTACAGCTGAGTAAGACAGCTGAGTAAAATGCAGAACTTAAGATCCTGCTAATAAAGAACAACTGCATGGAAGAGGGAAGGTTTAACAAAGGCTCTTACATGTTGTGGTAGCTTTTTATTTGCAGGGAAGCCCTTTAAATTGTGATCAGTCTAAAGTAGTGAAGTCCAGTCTACCATCTCAGTCTGCTCCATGTCTAGACCTAGTCTTAGTCCTCTTTGGGGAGGCACTCCTGGTGGCAGCACGTCTAAACCTTCTGGAGAATTGGAATTGAGATTGCCAAGAAGAAAATTCAGTGCTGCAATTGCTCTATGCAACATTCATAAAATGGTTTCAAACTGAAGGAAGCTTGACAGCAGCCATCTCCCAACTAGTGCTCACTGATTGTAATGGGACTGCAATTCTCAGAATTTTCAGTAAGCATAGCCAGTGGCCTGGGAATGGTGGGAATTTTAGTTCTAACACATTGGGCTGATCCATTGCTTCCTTCCACAGCCCAGCTTTAAAAATATTAGAGGGAGTTGGGTGAGTTCTCTCTGCCCACTGTGTCTTCATCTGCATTTCTCCTTGGTGCAGAAATTGTTCATGAAGACCTCAAGATGGGTTCAGATGGTGAAAGTGATCAGGCATCAGGAACATCATCAGATGAGGTGCAGTCTCCAGTCCGAGTGCGCATGCGGAACAACCCAACACGCAAGATCTCCACTGAGGTATGTGGGTGCTGGCTAGTAATGATGGAGGACAGCTGAAGGTGGGAACAAAGATATCTTCGTCTCCCTTTATAATGGGCTGTTTTTGTGTGGAGAGATGTGAAAGGAATAAAGAAAAATGTCTTGTTTCTCAGGTTACATTCTCCTTCCTTTACTCCCCAAAGTTAACTTCACTGGTTAGGGAATGCAAAGTCTACCCCAAGTAACCTCAGATAAAGTAAGACAAACATTTGATAATGCATGGATTTTGCACAGACTTTCTAGCCAGCTTTGCACTGCATGCTAGACTAAATTAAACTGGAGCTGATTTGTTAGTTCATAACATAGTTTATTTGTGTTATGTGAATACAAAAAACTGTTGTTAACCCAGATACAGGGTTTAACATACTGTGAGCCTAACCACTCAGTACTTGATCCTTCCTTGTGACTTCTTTGAATTCTCATATATGGGTTTGTGAGATAGCACAGGAAGCCTCTACCAATATTTCTGAATCACCCCCAAATGTCCTGAAGAATCCAAAGGTTACTGATGCTCTTCTTAGGACATACCTATACTTTTCCTGACTAATCCCTCCATCTAGGGAATCCTGCAGGATGAATGGTACATCAAAATAAGCTCTTGGAAGGCATCAGTACTGCAGGCCTTAGCTGGGGGGCGGGGGGGGGGG